CTTCTGAAATCAAATCACTGAGGGCTGCATCTCATTCCTCCAGGATGTTACACTTGATGGTGAAGAGCGTGTGTGTGTGTGTGTGTGTGTGTGTGTGTGTGTATGTATGTGGGTGTTTGTTTCTCTCTGTACATGTGTGCAAACTAAACTGTCCCTCAAGGCGTGGAGAGTTGGATGACATGAGTTTCCTTTCAAGACCAAAACAGAAAGACAGAAAGGTCAAAAGAAAGAGGTTTTTACCCAGTTGAAGGGACCACTATGATGGCTCTGGGGTTGACCAAGTCTGTGTCGAACAGCGTCCGCCTCCCGCTGCCGTCCAGGTTGGCGCTCTCGATCATGTCGGGGTTGGAGTCGACCCAGAACATTAACCTGCGACTGGCGTCCACCGCCAGCCCCTCTGGACTGACCAGATCTACACAGAGGGGGTTAAGATCATTTTAGAAAGTTTTCTCAACATCTCTGGATGTATTCAGGACTTCTGCGTCCATATGTGAATGCAGCAGACTCGTCTTCTTACTCGTGTTAATGAGGATCTCCGGCTCGGCTCCGGGCGCCATCGAAGCTCTGTTGATTGTTCTTGCGGACAAATCGGTCCAATAGACTCGGTTCTCTCTGCAGTCATAGCCTATACCGACCACTATGGAACCCTGCAAACACACATACAGTGTTTTATTATACCACACTGTGACAGATTAGTATTGACCGCGTGTTCTTTATATTTCATTTTCTACTTTCAGATTTTTTCTACATAATAGAAGCCGAGCAAGAGTGTTGTCTTACATGTAGAGTCAGCAGTGTTTTTGAGCGGGCCGCATCCAGCCGTGTCCCGTTGAGAGGCAGCGCTCCGATCTTCTGCCCCTGGGCGTACAGCAGGGTGATGTCAGTGTTTGGGGGAGGGGTCACGACCGGGTTGGGCAATGGGCGCACGGTGGGCGGGGCCACCGAGGGAAGGCCTGAGGCGAGAAAGGAGGGATTAAAAAAAATATGTCAAAGAGATTTTTTGAAGCAGAATATTGATAATGTGAACAAGCAGTTAGCTTACATGCTGGTTTGACGACATCGTGCGATCTGGTACCAGGGACCTCTCGCCCGTCCTGGTCTACACACCAGCAGTAAGTGGTCTCTCCATAACACTGGACAGGTCTGAGAGGAACATTCACTCTCTCAAGTCATTTGTCACAAATTGAATGATTGTGTTTTCTTGATGTCTGCGTGGTGTGTGTACCTGAACTGTCCATCTGCATCACACTGAGGCACGTACTGCTGCGCCTCTGGTTTTCCTCCGTAGTGCTCGATCAAGCTCGCTCTCCACCGTTCACACACACTCTCAGGACGCTGGGTCGGAGCTACAGGGACTGAGTGGGTACGAACACACATTAAGAACTAATGATATTCCAGCTTGACTTATACTACAATGACAGGTGGGTGTTTGATGAGCGGAGTGGGAAGACCCATGTGTTTACAAAGTCTCACATGTACACACACACTGTTTACCTCGTAAAGTCTCTTTAGTAACTCACTTTATGAGAGCTTTAAAACTACACCAGAAACCACTTTAGACTTCCTTTAATGTTTATTCAGGCCTCTGTCTCTCTTTCTCTCTCTCTCTACTCTCTCTCTCTCACTCTCTTTCACTCTCCCTCTCTGTCTCGCCCTCTCTCTCTCTCTCTCTCACTCTCCCTCTCTCCCTCTCTCTCTCTCGTGCTGATGTCCAGTCTGATGAATCACTTGGTTTCCCTTTTATTTACGTTTTAACCAAATGATGAATTAAGCTTAGAAGCCCCTGTGTCTCTGATGTTCTTCTCACAAATCAACAGTTTGTGGATTGTCCACTGAATAAATGTCATTTCAATCCTCAGGCTGCTGTTCTGAGCTGGCAATGAACTCTAATAATCATATGGGAACACATAAAAACAGACTAGCTTCCAGTAGATTTGGGTGTTTGGATCCTGGATCATGCTGCTAAATTTGTTGCAAATTGAATCGATGAAAAAAACACAAAGTGTGAGATTTGAAGCAGGGGTTTGCACGTGTGTCTGTACGATGTGCCTGTACGATGTGCATCTGCAGGGCGGGGATGTAACACTGTTTTGTCACCCAGCTGGCCGGGCAGCCTGTCCTGTTTTGGTTTGGTTGCCCGGCAACAGCCTATAGCTCATCTTACCAAGAAATGACCACTTCAGATGTTTGTATGGTCATAAATGGAATTTATAGCGAGGGCTGAATTTATAGAACGGCCTCTTTGTGTACGTTAGAGTGGGTGAGAGAGCAGCACAGAGAGAGAGAGAGAGAGAGAGAGAGATTTAAGTGATTCCTTTTTCTGTGTAAACTGTTTATTTCCTAAAGAAAATCTAAACAAAACAAAAATAAAAATTGGTGGTTGAATTAGATATAGTGTGGAAAGCTGTTTCTACTGTGCAAATGTCATTACACACATTAATACTTTACATCGAAAAATGAATATTACTTGGATTAATACAGCCTTGGCTGACTCAGACTCAATGACACTCAAAGTTTATCAGGACATGATTAAAGTCTCACCTGGTTTGTCACAGTCTTGAGGTTGAGTACCAGCTGAGGTCCTGGTTCCTGGTCTCTCCTGCCCTGTACTGTCCACACACCAACATTCCCCTGTAGAGCTATAACACTGAGAAAAAAAGGAAAATGGCTCTTCTATTCTGTTTGAGTGATTCAAAACTGCATGTCAAAGCGAGCACTGTGTCAGAAAAGATGATCTACCTGCAGGGATGTGTACTGTCCGTTAGCATTACACTGAGGTGCATATGCTCCATATAAAGGATATCCCTCTGGACTGGTGGTCTGCACGCTGTCTCTGTGGTGCTCACAGTGAGTTTTAGGACGTTGAGGTTCATCTACAAAAATGACATTTTTAACATATTAAAAATTGCTCTTGGCGTGCCTGTACATAATAAAGTTTGACTGAACATCTTTCACAGATTAGCCAGTAATTTGATGTCTATGTCCTGTGTACTGTTGGTCCTTAACCCTCCTGTAGTCCTAGTGCATTTTTTGATGTTTTAAGTTTTTTGTGGATAATTTTGGCTGTGTTGATGCATATTGCATACATTTTGTATGTATTTTGGGGTGAATTTTAAAATTTTATGAAAATGTATTTCTCCACTCTTTTTTACACTGTATTAAAAAAAAATCACACCTTTAGTCCTTTGTAATTTTTTTGTGACATTCACTCCCATTGAAACGACATTTTTTTAATACACTACCATTGTGGTGTGAAATTAATTTTGTATTAATTTTTTCATGGATTCATGATAGTGAGGGACTGGAATTTTAGTTTTTACTGTTTTACCAACATAGTTTCCAAAACAAAAGCCTGCTAGTATGTCTTTGTTTACACAGGTGACATTACAGGGAAACAACGCCAAAGGTGTTTGTTATAAACATCACACAAAAAGTAAGGACATTTGTGTTTTGGTAGATTATTTCTTTGTTGTAACAATGCTTCTTGGCAATCAATCTTATACAGTTGGAAAGCCTGTGTATTTCCCTTTTAAATGGTACCACATTTGTAAGGAATATGCATTTGTGGGATGAGCAGCAGAGCTGAGTATGTGGGTTGCGCCCATGAAAAACGTGCCAAATCTTCTCTGCCAATGCCAAAAAGCGTATTCTGCTGTTGACTCTCGTTTGGTGTCTTTTAGTGGATTGGATGATTTAAACACAATGAACATTTGCTATGCATGGTGAGGACTGAAGTTAATAATAGTAACCATTAAAAGAAAATGGAACTATACATTAATAGATAATTTTTCTATGGCAGTCTTTATTGGAGCTTTTTTTTGCGTGGTAAGGCGAAAGGTGTAGCACAAATCCTCGGGTTGTAGGAGGGTTAAGATGACAGAACCAGGTGTAATGAGAAACATGTTTAGCCTCACCTGGTTTGTCACAGTCTTTGGGTTGAGTACCAGCTGAGGTTCTGGTTCCTGGTCTCTCCTGCCCTGTACTGTCCACACACCAACATTCTCCAGTGGAGCTATAACACTGAAACAATGACAACATATTAGTGTTTAAAACCTTGGTTTTAAAACGGACTGAAATAAGTCAACAAATATGTACCTGCAGGGGTGTGTACTGTCCATTAGCGTCACACTGAGGTGCATATGCTCCATATAAAGGATACCCCTCTGGACTGGTGGTCTGCACGCTGTCTCTGTGGTGCTCACAGTGACTTTGAGGACGTTGAGGTTCATCTGGAAGAGAAAAAATGAAAACATTTGAACAAGTCTTTAGGAAACACAAATGTTACGGAGTATTATGCTAGTTTAAACACCTCCCCCTGCTCCAAAGCTCCATATAATGGCACGTTTCACACATGCACAAAACTGGCTGGACATTATGAACTAATACATTTTAAGCACAAAAAAGTACCATAACAGGTCATCACGTCCTCCTTCTCAAACTGTTTCTTCAAAATAAACAGGTAGTGGAGCTGTCGGTCAAACAAACTGGACCACACCCACAAATTCATGAGAAGTGGTATAATCATGGTCTCCATCACTAACACTTGTGTGGGTGTACAGAGGCTTTAAGAAAGACAGATTCCTCACACCAACATCTTTCACAAAGTTCATGCAGATACATTTTAATAAAGTTTTATCGCTTAAGCTTATTTTTTTATGGCCTATTTTTCTTATAAACTGGCGTTCCACATGGTTTAGTGTTCGGCCAACTACAATTTCTCACCCCTACATCCCTCCTGCTTTATTTGGACAACCTTGATCCTTCCTGTAAGGGCTACTACAACTCTATTGAAGAACTACTCATAGCCCTCATGGACTACAATAAATGCAGCCTCTTTGCTCCTGGTTTAGATGCTGAAATAAGTCCTGTGCCACAACACTCAACAGTCTCACCTGGTCTTTCACAGTCCACAGGTGTTGAACCAGGTGGAGTCCTGGTTCCAGCTCTCTCCTCTCCCCTGTTGTCCACACACCAACAATATCCAGTAGAGCTGTGACACTGAAATACACAATAAAAGCGCATCGTCATAACAGTCGAAAGACATTATGACTTTATAATAATAATTTATACTTTATTAATCCGGCAAGGAGGAATTCAGTTTTACACTCTGTTTAATGAACACACACATAGGCCGAAATACACACACACATGCACAAACAGCATCCTATGGACATGCATTAATCCAATAATCCAAATAATGCAGGAGGGATGAAGGGGTGAGAAATTGTAGTGGGCCGAACACTAAACCATGTGGAACGCCAGATTATAAGAAGAACAGTTTAAAAAAAGAAAGAAAGAGAACAGAGGTCTCAGAGTGAGGGGGCTGCCCACAGCGAGCGCTCCAGAGCAGTTTTGGGGTTCAGTGCCTTGCTCAAGGGCACCTCGGCAGTGCTCAAGGAAGTGGACTGGCACCTCTCCAGCTACCAGAACAATTTCAGGACATGGTCCGTGACTTGAGCAGGCGACCCTCCGATTCCCAACCCAAGTCCCTACAGACTGAGCTACTGCCGCCCCATATACATCATACATGAACATCAGGTGTTACCTGTTGAAGGGTGTATTGTCCATTGGAATCACACTGAGGAACAAACAGTCCTGGTATAGGATATCCCTCTGAACTGGAAGCCTGTGCTCGGTCTCTGCGCTGCTCACAGTGAGTTTTAGGATGCTCTGGTTCATCTGGTTGTTAAAGATAGAAAAGAAAAGGATCACACAGATACTCTATGTATACTATATCAGGTCAGTTGGATACCAACTATCATTAGAGATGTATAGTTAGTGTATAGACATGTGTAAAGGTAGACAACAATTGGAGCTGAGTTTTGGATATTTAAAGTTCTTTTACACAAGTAATGGTCGTACCCAGGAAAGCATTTGTTTTACATTTTCAATAAAGTAGATTCATTTTCAATATTGAATCTACTCTTTTTATTTAACTTGTCCTCTCAAGTTTGTGTTACAGAGTGCATCAGCCCTTATTTTTTCAGTTATTTGTGGAAAACCAAATACTGTGCATTTTATGAAATCACCAAAGTAATGACCATTAATATGAATACACTTTTTTGAAGCATCCTCCAAATTCCTAATAAGCAATAATCATTGTAAATTGTGAATTCTTCATCCTTTAATGCTAGGACTTTAAATCACAGATAGGGAGGCCAGATAGCCAAACTGTTGTGATGCCCCATGTGCTACAGTCCTCATTGCAGTGGGCCGCTGTCCTATCTATTCAAGGCAAAAGGGAAACCAAATAAAATTTGCTACATATGGGGAATAGACGTGTGTTCATGAAAAACAGATGTTCTTCTAAAAGGCACATTTGAAAGGGATCACTGGGGGCATGTTCATCTTCTAACTCAAAGTTAGAATAGATTTAAAATCATTAAATCCATTCACCCTATATTCACCAAGTCCTTTTAAACTTCCAACAAAAAAATCCCAGCTCAGGTTGCTTTTTGTAAACAGCCAAATGTATAAACTAAACCTCTTGTTAGGCTTTATCTTAAAGTTGAACTCTGTCGCTGTATACCTTCTTACCACACACAGTCTGGCAGTGAGGTCACCTGTTTTTCCAGGCATTCCAACGCATTGACCCAATGACCTCGATAGTGCACCACTTACAAGGTTAGACTCACACTCACGTAAAACATCTGTTTGACTTGTCATTGAGCTGAGGAATTAGGCAGTTCACCAGGTCAATGTTTAGTAAGACAGCCTTGAGGAGAGATGACATAATGCACCTGCTGGTAAGAAAACAGCTTTAAGCGCTCACGGTGGAACCTGTTTGTTTACCTGCTTTGTCACAGTCTGTTGGTGGTGCCCCGGGTGAGGTCCTGGTTCCCGCTCTTTCCTGCCCATTGCCGTCTACACACCAGCAGTGTCCACTAGAGCCGTGACACTGAAAATTGTACATTAAGTAATTTGAATTTAGCAACAAATTCTTGTGTAACATTTAAACAATGAAATCAGTTCTGTCAGTTAGCAAATCAAAAGTAAAATTCTAACCTGCAGGGGTGTGTACAGTCCGTTAGCGTCACATTGAGGTACGTAGGCTCCAAGTGTAGGGTACCCCTCTGGACTGGTGGTCTGCACGCTGTCTCTGTGGTGCTCACAGTGAGTTCTGGGACGCTCTGGCTCATCTAGGCAGAAAAAACTAATATTTATAGACACTGAAAAGCAAACATCCGCAAACAAATTTGCATCGGAAAAAAGCGTCCAATTCCAAATCGCAGCTCTAATTTGATTCCAATTCTATAGACTACTCTCCCTTTATTTGCATGCAGTGTGAAGATACGAGCATAATAAAGCTCGCTAGCATTACCATGCTAACACAACAATGCAGTGTGAGTTGTTTTGGTTTCATGCTGGTGCTCAAGGGCGACATCTACTGGATCCAAAAATCACATATAAAGCCTTTAAGCTCAGATGGGAAGATTGACACAGCTCCCGCATCTGTATGTTATATAACCCATTTTTTTTTAACGAGATTGTTTATATGAAGCTAGCAGGTGATTAGCTTGTCTCATCACAAATTGCTTCCTAAGATGACACAAAAATAGCCAACCAGCATCCCTTAAGCTAACTGCTAGCATGTAACATTTTAACACCTACCAGAAAAAACATACTTATAAATATTACCAAACATTGTAGTCCCCATCTTACAGTTTTTATGCTAAACTAATGGTCATCTCACAGTTTTTAATGCTAAACTAATGGTCTGCTGGCTTTACATCAGTCAAACATCAGTCCTGAGTCTGAATACAGTCTTAAACCTCACCTGGTTTGTCACAGTCTTTGCTTGGTGTGCCAGGAGGAGTTCTGGATCCTGCTCTCTCCTGCCCCCTACTGTCCACACACCAACAGTGTCCAGTGGAACCATGACACTAAAACATAACAAATCCACGTCTATTAAAAATTAAAAAAATATGATTAAATGACCAATATTTACTCGCTTAGAACGAGAGAACAAATGACAAGCACTGACTTGTAATGATCTGTACTGTCCGTTAGCGTCACACTGAGGTACGTAGGCTCCGACTATAGGGTACCCCTCTGGACTGGTGGTCTGCACTCTGTCTCTGTGATGCTCACAGTGAGTTCTGGGACGCTCCGGCTCATCTGGGGAGGAACAGAATAACTATTAATTAAAGTGCTGCTGAGCTAAGCCGTGATTTCTTTGTCATAATTGCTTTCAAATGCACTTTTTAAATTCATCTTTGCCCAAATCTTTAACTCCCAAGCTTTAGACAACTTATCCTCCCTCTTTGCTAACACTAATGAGGCAGTTCACTTCTTTTTCTCTCCACCTTCTTGTTGCTGAGGCACACCCGGATGGTGTCATCTGCATATAGGAGCATGTTTTTGTCTAGATCCATGAAAACAAGTAGGTGTGCTTCAGCAGTTTATATTACACTCTGCTGTGAAATCTTATATGTAACTGGATTACATGCAGCGCCAGCGTCTTTTTTCAATAGTTTTCAATGAGCTATGAACCAATCCCTCACCTGGTTTGTCACAGTCTGTTGGTGTTGTACCAGGTGGTGTTCTTGTCCCATCTCTCTCCTGTCCATTATGGTCCACACACCAACAATGTCCAGAGGAACCATGACACTGTAGAATACATCAGCAAAAAAAATCAATCACAGAGATATCAGCTCAGGGTTGCATTCTTTCAGATGCAGGTTATGTCCTTTTAAACACTTCATTTGTGACATACCTGCAAAGGAACATACTGCCCAATATCGTCACACTGAGGTACGAAGGCTCCAAGTATAGGGTACCCCTCTGGACTGGTGGTCTGCACGCTGTCTCTGTGGTGCTCACAGTGAGTTCTGGGACGCTCTGGCTCATCTGGGGAGGAAAAAGACAAAACTGTAAAAATATATATATATATATATATATATATATATATATATACACCTTATTCTTCCAACTAGTAGAGAAACAGTTGATTTGATTTGGAGATGTTGCTCTCAGTGATTACTCATCTGATGGTTTTAGAGAGATCAGGGGGATGTTAATCTCACCTGGTATGTCACAGTCTGTGGGTGCTGTACCAGGTGGAGTCCTGGTCCCCACTCTCTCCTGCCCCCTGCTGTTCACGCACCAACAATGTCCCGTGGAGCCGTGACACTGCAATGAATAAGTCCAGGTTGAGGAATGAGTCGTCGCTTCACACATCTCATCAGTCCGATATCAGACACTTTGCCCACCTGCTGTGATCGGTACTGTCCGTTAGAGTTACACTGTGGGATGAAGGCTCCAACACTTGGCTCCCCTCTGCTCTGCAGGTTATCTCTGTGCTGCTCACACTGGCTCTTAGGGCGGACTGTCTGACCTGTGGACACATTTATTTTGGGGTATTTATGTTCCTATCAAACAAACTCTTTTGCTATGTATCCAGAGAATGTACAGGGTTACTGTTTGAAAAGTCACTGCTATTCATATTGACAGCTCTGAAAAAAAGCACCAGAAGGAGAATAATGCTCCCTAGTTTCACAAAACATGATCAAATATGATAATGACTAACAACCACAATGGTAGGTTATTGCAGACGTTTTCACTGACCTTCCTGCTGAGAACAATAGAAACCGTCCCCATAGAACCCAAGCCTGCACTGACACTGGAAGGATCCCAGCCCGTTGATACATCTGGCATCGGTGTGACAAGGAGAGGAGCTGCATTCATCCATATCTAAAAAAATAAAAATAAATAAAAAAGGGGCACAAAAAATGTTCAAGCACACACTGAACCTCCAGAAGATAAAGAAAAAATATGATATCCTCTGTAAAGGAGGAAGGTAAAGAGGGTTCAAAGGAAGTTCATCAAGAGTTCATACTGATGGGTGAAAGTAGGACACACACACCGACAGGACTTCTCTCCTCCACACATTCCAAAGCAAAAAAACACACACTGTGTCATTGCTCCATTTGTCTTTCACTTTCACCCCCCTCTCCTGTCTAATCTCACCCTACTCCTTCTCCTGTTAGTTCCCAGCCTTGTTCTCACATTTGCCGCCCATCCTCCTCTCTCTCTCTCTCTCTCTCGCTGTGTTTTCTCGCTTTTGCAGCTGTGCGATGCTGCTGTGGAAGAAATGTTATGCCTGTGTTGGGACAAACATGCCGATCTCTTCCAATTACTCATTTTTTTGGGAACACGGAGGTCTACTTGCAAAAAGAATCGCTTGTGTGACCAACAACTCAAGGACAGAACGTGATTTGGTCACTAAAAAAAAAAAAGATTGTGCAGGACACTGTTACCATAGCAACAATATTTTATGATTACAGATGCTTCCTTTTCATTAGCATATAAAGATGATCACTTGTATCACACAGACAAACCAGGAACCTCCACACAGAGAGGCTCCTGTCAGACGGGGATTCAAACCAGGAACCTCCACACAGAGAGGCTCCTGTCAGACGGGGATTCAAACCAGGAACCTCCACACAGAGAGGCTCCTGTCAGACGGGGATTCAAACCAGGAACCTCCTCACAGAGAGGCTCCTGACAGACGGGGATTGAAACCAGGAACCTCGCTGTGAGGTGACAGCCCCAGCCACTGGACCTCCGTGCAGCCCCATACTGTACTGCTTCCTGTTGCTTGTATCGTATCATACGTTGAGTGGCTTTAGCTAATTTCTTTGTTTGGATGGAGCGCAGCCAAAGTTCAAACCACTATAGGGGGATTTCATTCACTTTAGAGAAAAAAACAACAGCTGCTGGGAGCATGTGTTGAAACAATTTCACCACAAAACAAACACATCAAGAGATCATGTGTCAGACTCTCCAAGTATAACTGTTGCCTTAGTGAAAACTAAAATAGAAACTGTGAATAAATAACCATGGTATGCCTGAAATGGTCTTAATTCTGGTTTCTTTTTGGGGGAAAAGCTCACAGCATGGCTCTGGGGATAGAGAAGTGTCTCAAAAAACATCTCAACAATCGTTGCACTGACTGCCATGAAATGTACTGACGGTTAATGTTCCTCTTGGGGGCCAATGTTCCAATCCATCTGCGGCCTTACCATGAGTCAGCACATCTTCAGACTTCTCTGAGTTCATAGCTACATTTCTTTGGTAAAGCTTAACACATGGTTTATCAGCCCCACACAAAATACACAGAAAACCTACAAAGGACAGTGTAGGGAAGACTTGCATGTTAATGTGTACAGCATGTGGCTTCTTGCTGTTGTGTAATCCAGATGACTTCATGTAAATCATGTTTGTGGGGTTGTTTGCATTTTCAGTCAAATATTTTGTTTCCCTGAATGTATAAACACAAAGCAGTATCTGATACCCAGCTGTTTGTCCCATTTCTTCTTCTTCTAACAATTCCTGGCCCTCATTGTCTGTACATGCTCATGTTATGTCTCTAGAGCTCTCCTCTCAATGCAACTTACCAACACAGGTACGCCCATCGAAGCCGAACTCGTAGCCGCTCTGGCACTGGCAGCGATGGCTGCCCGGCAGGTTCACACACTGAGCGTGAGCCCCGCAGGAACTCTGGTTCTCAGCACACTCGTCTACGTCTGCAGGGAGAGAAAAGGAGGAGGAGAGGAGAGGAGAGGAGAGGAGAGGAGGAGGAGAGGAGAGCAAAATAAGTTTACAGAGGAGAGGAGGAGAGGAGAATAGCGGACGAGAGGAAAGGAGGGGGAGGAGAGGAGAGGAGAGGAGAAGAGAAGAGAGGAGAAAAGAGGAGAGGAGAGGAGAGGAGAGGAGAGGAGAAGAGAAGAGAAGAGGAGAGGAGAGGAGAGGAGAGCAAAACAAGTTTACAGAGGAGAGGAGGAGAGGCAGACAGGAGGAGAGGAGAGGAGAGTAGCGGAGGAGAGGAAAGGAGGGGGAGGAGAGGAGAGGAGAGGAGAGGAGAGGAGAGGAGGAGGAGATGATTCATTCCATGCAACCTGTACTTGACCCCTATCACACGATGGACAGATGTTGATGGAACACAGGCACGCTGCCATGAACTGTCTTTAACGTTGTCTACATGTGTTTGTGCGAGTGTATAATGGAGACAGACTGCGTTCAATTAAGCAAAGGCACTTTGTAATGCAGTAAGACAAACATACCATAACAGTTGCGTCCATCTCCTCTGTAACCAGTGGCACACTGGCACTGGAAGTCCTGGCCTTCCAGTGGGATGCACTGCGCTGTGGTGTCACAGTCGTGATTCCCAGCGTAGCATGGGTTCACCAGCTCTGGCCCGGATGGCTCAACTGCAATGAAGGAGAAGAAACGATATAGAACGATTTGTATTTGAATGCACCATGCTGAAACTAACATTACGCTACCTATTGGACCATGGATGTCAAAACACTTCAGGAAGGCAGATTCTGCATCCAGAGGGACATAAAAAAGGAAAACGCACAGCACAAACTGCAGGACTGCAAATGTCCTTAATTGAGATGAATTGGGATGTGGATCAGCTCGAGTCACATGATTGTAGCGATGATTACAAGACAGCCCTAACCAGACGCACATGTGAAATCACTCCAGACAAACTCCCAGAGGACATTTCCTCTGAGGAAGTGACTCCCTTCACGTTCTCAATATTCAACATATGGATGAAGTTAGACACACGTATACATGAGAGAGAGAGAGAGAGAGAGAGAGAGAGAGAGAGGCAGACGGACGAGTGAGCGGATGTGTGGTCGGGGTTTCCTCATAACGACGCACATGAAAATCAAAGACAAAGACAAACCTCAGACATTTCAGGAAAAAGAGCCCAGTTGAGAAAACCATGGGACATGATCAGAAAGGAATGAGAGAGAAATATAGTTATGCTCTAATATGCACGCAGGCTGCCACTGAAGCTTCAGTGTTTAGCCAGCTCTTCCTCAGTCTTCAAACCTTTCTTTGCTCTAACATCTCCAAGTTTTTCAAAAGCATTTTTTTCCTAGTTTGAGCACGTTCCAACTGTATCATATCATCTTGTGTCCTATAGTTTTGAATCGTACTGTATCAAATCATTTCCTATGGTGTTGTATTTTATCATTCCGGTTTGAAGCGTCTTGTATCTTATTGTTCCGTATCAGGAGTTACCCTTTGATTCCCACCGATAAAACAGTTTGGCTTTAATTCCAAGCAAAAAAAAAAAAAAACACTTCTGATGGCTGAAAAAACATATTTTTCAAACTTCCTTACTCTATTAAAACCTTTCAGTGTTTGCTAGTTTAACATGTTGTTGGCGGTTTGGAGTCCAGCCTGCCATATTGCCAACATATGAGCATTCTTCTACAATAATAAGAAACATAAACCACCCAAAGGAACATCAGTAATAACTGCTTTAAATGATGTGTAAGTGTTAAAGGATGGTCTTTACCATCATCAGCTATAAAATGCAAAGACACACACACACACACACACACACACACACACACACACACACACACACACACACACACACACACACACACACACACACACAGAGACCTAAACAAAACCAAACGCACAGACATGCAGCACAGCTTGCTCCCATCTCCTCCAGCCAGAGGCCAACTTTGGCTCATTATCAAAGAGCGAGAGAGAGAGAGAGAGAGAGAGAGAGAGAGAGACTCTTCAAAGTGCTGAATGTGGCTGAGAGGACGAGGAGATGAGAGGGCGAGTAGCATGTGGATGGGAGAGAAGACCGAGGGCTAATTAGAGAGAGAGAACACACACACACTACACTCCATCAAAGCGTGGACTGCAGTTTCCCACCTGTAGCTTTTTACTCCTCCACACCAACGGGCTGGTTTCACAGAGGCGTAGCTGTAACTCTGTCAGGGTGGTTCAAGGTGACGTGACCCCTCTTTAAATCACCCTGAACTGTTTTATCTATCATCGATTACTTTTACTGACACAGAGGAATGACCTGAATTTAAAATATGGTGGTTTGAAAAAGGAAAAGGTTTTTTTTTTAGCAGCTTTGACTTAGATGAATAACTTAAAGGGGCAGCAAGCGGCCGTGTTGCTCCAGGTCCAGACGAAATGTCTCAATCTGATCCAGAATGTCCTTCAAACTCATGTGGAGTTTAAAATCATTTGTCATTTCTGATACTTTTTCTATCAGTTCAGTGTCTGAAGGTCTCCTACAATCTCACATTCTCATGACATCAGTGGGCAGCTATTCTACCCGGCAACCAACCCCCCCCCTCCAGAAAATCTGTCATTGGCTGGGATATTATTTCCCAGAAAGTGTAAGACCCTTGAACACACACACACACACATACACCACTTAACCCGTGTTTATAAAACCCCTGATCCCTGAAAGCTCTTCCAGCTGTGCTCTGGGTGTATCACTGTGTGTGTGTGTGTGTGTGTGTGTGTGTGTGTGTGTGTGTGTGTGTGTGTGTGTGTGTGTGTGTGTGTGTGTGTGTGTGTGTGTGTGTGTGTGTGTGTGTGAGATGTGTCATCATAACCTTTATAATCAGCGTGTTGACATTTAAATGGCAGAAACTTGGTCTGAATTCAAACACAGGGGGAAACGTTGCTTTACTCTCTTAAACCCCTTTTTCTCCTCTTCATCTTTTGACCGTCTCTGTTGGTGTGTTTCTGGTTTCCATCAGACGGAGCAGGTAAAGAAAAGTGTTGACAGAAAAACAACATGCTGTATGACTTTACACATCCCTGGTGTTCAGCTGGTACCTGAGGGAACAGGCGATCAGATAATGTGAAGAGAAGTTAAAGGGATACTTCACCCATTTGCATTAATCTTTGTATCATTAGAAACCTGGTAGTATTTTTGAATGGTCGTGAATCCTGCCCTCATTTTCCCCTGAGATGGGAAATCTTTGTATTTCTGAGTCTGAAAAGGAGCTTCCAGTGACGCAAAATGACGATATTTGCATCACTGGAAGCTGTTGTGAAATTTCTGAGAAGTGTGCTGAGCAACTGACCAATAACGACAGAGCGGATCGGCAGACCAATCAGAGCAGACTTGGCCCACGTGGGGCTCTGCAGTGGGGGCTCAGCAGAGCGTAGCTAACGGACTCAGAGCGTAGAGGGAGCAAGGCGGAGCAGTACATGAAAACAGACACTTTTTTCGGACTTTAGCTATTGTGAACGTACAAAAGTAGGAACATAGATGAAATATACGAACCCCAAAAAGGGCATAATATGGGTTCTTTAACGTCCGCCATATTGCTTGGAAGCTATGCTAACAGGCTCTATGGAGAAAGCTGATAATGGTGAAAATATAAATATAGCGGCGAGACGGTTGCTGCCGACAGGCCGGTCTTGTGTCTTGGCCGCTGGCCGCCGGGGCTGCCGGGGCTGCTGAGGCCACCGCGACACAAGACTGGCCTGTCGGCAGCAACCGTCTCGCCGCTATATTGCTGGACACTGCCGGCCGCTGCCAGCTCAGCAGCCGAGACACAAGGCCTGCCTGTCGGTGGCGGTAAGGACGAGGAGCCCGGGCCGGCTCGAGCTGGGGCAGCCTGGTAGTGTCGGTGCTCTCACTGTTTGCCTATGAAACAGACACATAGAGTCTGTTTTCTGTCAGGAATTTCCAAGATCAATTCTAATCCCTCTGGGATTAATTAAGTATTTCTGATTCTGAACTAGAGGATTTTAGTGGGAGTGGCCTACGGTGCTGTGCATTCTGGGATTTGGTGTCTTTCATCCACATTTCTACTACATATATGACCCAATGTCAACACAGATTTATGTTTCAACGGGTGAAGTATCCCTTTAAAGACAAAGAAGGGAAGGTGTGAGAAAGAGCTGTGAGTTCCCCTTCTGTGCAAAGATTCCCATTGAAGTGGATCCAAACAAAAACCTCTGTTTGTCCAGCTGACTCACACGCAATAAAGATTTAACTGCAATTAAAACATAAATAGGAAAAGATGCTTGCCACACACACACTTCCAAACACAAGAAGAGATACGGAGTAGCAGAAATGACGCAAGACAAACACAATATTAATTCCACATTTACATTTTCATGAAACTGTATTCATCGGCTCTAAAGGTCCCTTTCAATGTGCACAGCCAGGTCAGGAGAAAAGTCCTTCTGAAGGGGTCGAGACATTTTCAGGAGTGTACATGTATATTTGAAAACAGTTTTCCTTGCAAAACTCAAATCGTTGAGGCCAAACTTCCTCTCCATAACCACAAAGGATTGTGGTTTCAGTTTTGTGTTTCTGTTACCACAAAGTACTTTGAGGAACCAGAGCCAACAATGAGACGGCCATTTTTTTTCTCCCCACACTGTTGCATCATGCTCAGATCTTACTCAGGCTTTCAGAACTCTTCAGTTTTATCTTGCTGCTCATGCTACAACGTGCACACTCAATTCAAACGTACCGATAATGTGCTTCAAAGCAACCAAACAAGAGGAATATGAAAAGTCAGCTGTGACACAGTTATTAGAGAGAGAAAGAGAAAGGAGAGAGAAAGAGAGAGAGAGAGAAAGAGAAAGGAGAGAGAGAGAGAGAGAGAGAGAAAGAGAGAGGGAGAGCGAGAGCGAGAGAGAGAAAGAGAACGAGAGAGAGAGAAAGAGAGAGAGGGAAAGAGAGGGTGAGAGAAAGAGAGCGAGAGAGAGAGAGAGAGAGAGAGAAAAGAAAGAGATAGAGAGAGAGAAAGATGTTTTAAAATCTTTTTGTCTGGTTTCGACGTATGATTTACCCTCCACTCACAGTGTGTGTGTGTGTGTGTGTGTGTGTGTGTGTTTTAAAGCTGAGCTGTCTCTAACTCAGCACCGTGGTTTGGCTGAGGTTTCTGAGCAGCACTGTAACAATTACTTTAGGGGTCTGGTCTCTAGTTGTGGCTCAAATTTTCAACACCTTCAGTGTGTTACAGACTGACAGTCGCTCAGAGACTGTTCACACACAGCAGTGATGAATATACTGAACGTCCCTGAACACCGCTCCTGTCCTGTTTCCTATGTGATTATCCAACATGACACAAGATTTGTTTCTTCATATTGTGTTTCTATTTAAGAATAACTCAAAGGTTTTTTGTCAGCTGCTTTTCCCAAACATGCTAAAGTAGCATTTCTCAAATGATCTTCTTTTGAAGCCCACATGCTGAGTCAGCGCTCTGTTCCTGCCTTTTGAGTGTGTTTTGAATGACCGCTGGAATAAAGAACAAGTTGCTTTGCAGGAACTAATTAAGGTTTACTCTCCAGATTCTTTCATCACAGTTCCAGTCTCCTGAGGGGAGACGACCTCTCCAACAGACGACCTCTCCAACAACATGGGCTTCTTAAACCCTAAAGCCTGAAGTCCAGCTCATTTGAGTGTTGCCACTGTTTGTAAAATGAACTTTCATACTAAGAGGAGGATAAGGAGGATGGATGATAATAAACCCAATCTAAGAAACTTCTTAAGATGGCAGTATTGGTTAGCTTTACAGTCGATACGATTTCCACTTCTCCTTAGCATTTAAAACCTGCGCCCTATTGTTCAAAAGGTTTCATCTGGATTTGGTCCTCACTGTTTGTGATGCGTCGGGACTCACCTCCCACCGGGCTGATCTTGTTGGTGATGGCGTATCTCAGGATGCGCTCCTCCTTCACGTACATCACAAACACCCTCTCCATGGAGATCTGCAGCGTCTCCGGAGCCGGGGCGCGGTTGCCGTGGCGACAGTCGCGGTAGGTTATGTTCTGCTTGAGCTGGAACGAGAAGGACTCGGAGCCCCGCTCGGCCGAGACCGCCGTGAACTCCCTCACCGAGGTGGAGGTGGCAACTGAAGGGAACAGAGATTAAAAAGTGTTGATGCAAATACATGCATCACATATTACACACCTGTCTCATGGGGTTGTCATGGTTACCAGATGGGTAGTACTGGTAGGTCTCCTTGAAGGGGTCCATGGTGATTTCAGCTCCAGGGGGCAGGAAGGGCACGTTTCCACTCAGCACAGTGTCCACAGTCAGGTGGTTGTGGTCGTCAAGGCCACGGCCCGTCTGGATGATTGACAGGCGCTGGTTGCCGGGGTAAAAGATAACCTCTGCATGACGAGTGAACTCAGCGCCTGGTGACACAAATAATCAATCAATCAAAATATATCTATCCAACTTTCACTTTGGATATTTGAAGACATTTAAAGAATGTCTGCAATAGTTACATCTGTAGAGAACACACACACACACACACACACACACACACACACACAGCTGCTTTCTGTTAGAGAGGGGAGTTGGAAGCTTGATATCACACCACATCCCTGGAGACAATACAGCTGGCTGAGGGACACACACACACACACACACACACACACACACACACACACACACACACACACACACACACACACACACACACACACACACACACACACACACACACACACACACACACACACACACACACACACACACACACACACACACACACACACACACACACGGCAAAGGACTTACCCCATCTCTCCACACATGTGCTCCAGATGCAGTATGTAGAAAGCAACACACACACACACACACACACACACACACGAAACCGAGTTTACCTGTGATTTTGAATCCTGCTTGGCTATTGGGCAGCTCCAGAGCAAACAGCCATCCAAACAGCTCTCCGATTGGTGCAAGGGGCATTAGAGCCCAGCCCACCGGCTCAGGCACCTGACCAATCAGCACAGAGTTTACAAAAGAAGCAACTTTTTAAGATTCTTTGTGTATTTAAATGTTCAGGCTCCAACCTCGCTGATGGCGGTGTACGCTCGACCATCTCCCACCACGATGTAGGCGTGCAGATCGATGTTGTTAAGCGGCACGGGAGTCGAACCCACGGTCACTGTCCCGCTCACCTTCCCGCTAACTCTCTGAGGAGCACCTGGACGAGCAACACAGGGATTACATAGTTTAAAATTTAAAAAACCATAGAGTCAAAACATCAATAGGTTAGTGATGGCACTCTTACCCTCAGGTAGACAGTGGCGTCCGTTTCCATAGAAACCAGCCTGGCAGTGACAGCAGAAGCCTGAGGGGTAGTCTGAGCACAAGGCATTCTGGGAGCACTGCTGTTGGAATCTAGAACGGCAAACACAAGGGAGGAAAGAAACAGTGAGCTCCTGCTTCTTAAAGAGCATTTTCTCTTGCTGTCAAATGCATTGTGTCAAATTACCCACAATGCATTTTTTTATTAAACATAATTGAGATTAAGACGGGCAGCAGAGATAAGGAACAACGATCAGGTTTACTCGTTTCTCTCTAACTCTAGACTCCAGATTGTTTCAATTTACATTACTGATAATGACTCAAGTCACATCACACGAGGCATTTCAATATATCTTCTATGTAATGAAAAGTAATGACCTACCTGGCACATGTTTCCTTATTCTCTGTAGTGTACTGAATCACTGAGAGGAAGAAGAATTCATTAGTGTCATCTTTTGATTGTATACACAGTTTAATAAACACCATATTTAAATAACAGCTCGCTGTCTCCAGTCGCTTAGCCTACAAATCAAAACGTAGAGGCGTCATTTTCAGTTTTCAATTCAGAAGTTTTGTCTTAAGTATTCTTTTGTTTTGTTTTGAAGGCTTTTACCTTTGCTGATACTTATGCATTGAATCTACCACATAGCATCTGCCGCAGAAGCCCGACATGCACTTCTTCACAAATGTAACTGTGCATTGCAATGATGCAGACAGCAAGCCCTGTGATTGGTCAGAACATATTTACTGCATTTACAACGTTTAATGAATCACCGCCTTTTTTTGTTTTATTCTGTAACAGGACAAATTCTAATCAGCTGCTGCTCAACATTAATCAGCACACACACACAAACACAGTCAGACACACACACACACAACACACACACACACACACACACACACACACACACACACACACACACAACACACACACACACACAAACACACACACACACACACAACACACACACACACACACACACACACACATTCCTTGCTGCTTCGTAAACTCCCAAAAGCATTCAACATGTTTCAATACATTCATCAGATAAAGTCTTCACTCGTAACAGACAAAAAAAAAAGAAGATGTACACACAACGTTGTGTAAAACTACAGAACACACACATCTAAACACTTTGTGATGACGACTCTGTCTGGAGATCCTCTGTCACGCAGGCAGTGACTCACTCTGTTGTTGGTTTATTTGGAATAAACAGAAAACAAATCTGGAAAGTCAGCATGAAAAGTGAAGTTGAGCAGACAAAAAACAAAGAACAACATGTTGCTCTCTCCAGTGTGCATTGCTATCTTTTTTTAAATTTATTATTTGGGTAAAAAGCTGATTTGGGATCAAGATGCAGAACTCTATCATCCTCCAGGGGCATCACACACACACACACACACACACACACACACACACACACACACACACACACACACACACACACACACACACACACACACACACACACACAGCACCACACACACACACACACACACACACACACACACTCTCTTAAACACACTTGTGCCAGCTCTTCTGAGGGAATCCCACATGATAATACCTCTTTTTTTTATGTTTTCAATCAATTTCATGAACAGTAAAACCAAGTACACTGCACACACACGCTTCCTTCAAAACAAACTCTTCTAAAATATCCTTTTTAATTACAACAATCAAGAATTATTGTTTCATGAGACCACAAGCTGCTGATTAGGGGATTAAAAAAAAACTTCTGTATTAAACTTTCAGAAATGTCAAACCGTTGACAGAAAGTTCTCTCAGCATCCTTTAATGAAAAATAAAAAATGTCATCACTCCAAAGTGAGTGAAACGACTTAATAAGAAGAAAACATGCAACTCCAAGAGACCCTCTGAGCCTTATGTAACCGGGCAGGTTGACTGAGGACTCATTCTTATTTACAGCAAAAAAGCCTGTGGGAGGAGCTGCGAGGGAGGGAGTGCAGGACACACACACACACACACCTGGGAGCTGCCCCAGCACAACGGCTGTATTGTGCTGCCAGCTGCTGCAGCAGAGGGCGAGGTAAAGTTACCTTTCTGTTTCTCAAAGTGACCGTCCATTCATCGGTTTTGTAGAGAACTACGCACTACCATACACAAAAATATTCCAGGAGAAAACAGACTTTGTGAGATGCTGAAATTGAGTCCCATTTTCTTTTGCATTGTACAAAATATTATGATTTAAGAGAATTATTGTTTCATGAAGTAAAACCTGAACTATTGGGGCGGACAGATGTGCAGAAACTGGAATGGCTGTTCAAGTTTGATGTGTTTGCTCATTTTGTTTCAAAAGCTTGGAAAGATGGACAAATAATGTGCAATATTTGGTTTTGTCCCTTACCTCCTGTGTCGAAATCAACATCGTCTTCATCCACGCTGACCACGTGACCTCCGGGGGAGAGAGGGGGTTCGTTCCTGTGGGGGGGGTAGACATCCACCACCTCCAGAGGAGCCTACAAATACACATGCAGAAGGGAATATGTCATTTTATTTTTGTTGTTGTTATTGAGAGCTAATCCAATTCTTTTGTAACTCTCTCCAGATGAGCTAGGATCTGTGCATACTTAACATGTTGTATACAGTGTTCAGTGTCATGATGGCAGCTTTGACTGTCTCCAAAACAGCGTTCCAGTAAAACCACAACATTTACAAAAAAAGCAGCTCTAGTTACATATCGTTATTACTAAACTCTGCTTGAACCGCGGCTAAAATGTCTCCGATTTTGTTCTTATTAAATGCAATCAGTGATGTTTGAGAGTTCTTGATCTGATGCCACACCACACCACTGTCTGCATCCTGAAGATAAACCGTCTAGTAGCTGTGAAATGCTTGTAGTTGGGGGTTGTTTGACTCAAAGCCAGTAAGAAACCTCATGTTTAATGTTCCTTAATGCAAAACACAATACAACACACATTATGGTTACTTTTGGCCAATGGGATCCTTGCTTGGTGGTACCTGTGGCTGCTGGTCCTGAGTCTGCTCTGGACTAGGTGGAGCATAGTGCCTCTCCACCGGCTCTGGACTGTACCGGGGTTCAGACGTCAGCGGTACATCTTCACTGCCGTGCCGGTTAGAATCCTTTGAAGGGGACGAGGCTGCGTCGGGCCTCGCTGGTTGAAGGGGCTCGGGCTGGTCCCCACCAGCGGGGGCGGGCTGGAATTCAGGGTCCCCGCCTGTCAGAGGGTAATCATCGTCTTCCTCCTCCTCCTGGTTGTCGGGGTCAAAAGTGTTGTCTGGATATTCCTCGAACTCTGCGTACTCAGGGGTGGTGGTGTCCTGGACGAATCAGAGGAGTGATTAGCATAATGTGTCACAAAAAAGCAATTCAGAATTGTAACAAAAAATTGTTTTTTCGTTGTTTTTTTTTTTACCAGAGAAAGACCATGTCCTCCAGCTGGCGGTGTAGCAAGGATGCCACCGATGGCTGCAGGAACAATGTTGTCAAAAGAGTAGCGGTTTCCAGTGTGGAACAGCCAAACACCTGGTATCCCGGTGTTACCGACCCTACAGAGCAGGAAAACAAGCTTTGAGCATTTCCAACATCACAGATTCATATTGTTATCAGACTTATCCATTAAACCTGGGCTTTTCCCTGAGATCACACTTCAGCTCTTGTGAAAGGATGCTTTATATAAGATGCAAAGAACAGCCTAGAAGCCATGTATCTCTTAGACAAGGATGAATGTAAAGGCTATTTTAAGCTAGCTAGCTAGCTAATGGTAAATGGACTTGTACTACTAGTCTTCAGACGACTCTAAGCGTTTCACACCAGATCTCCAAACTGATGTCAGAGGCTGCTACATAAAGTGCCCAACCTCCCAATGGTACAATTCCATTTAACACGCATTCACACACCATCAGCGTAGCAGCAGGAGCACTTACTGTAGCAGTTCTGACTCTACCACTGAGGTCATTTTCTTAGCTAGCCAAACTGTTCTCTTTACTCTTTAAATAAACACGTGTTCCCCACAGCACTGCATGAAATTAAGGCTAGCAGTACAGCAGTGTTGCTCGTTAGCAACAACCCCAAACAGCTAATTAACAACAGCTGCCATGCTCGATGAAACTGCTAGCTTGTAGCAATGAACTTACTACTAGCTTAACCAAGTGCCTTGTCAAAGACAAAGGTGAAGGTAAACCCTTCTTTTTTTGCTAGCAAGCTGCTGAATTATCTTTTTGGGCAGCGTCAGTTTGGCAACTAGCAAACAATGCTAACTTGTTAGCAGCTCTCTTTTTAGGTAATCGTAAAGAAAACACAAGACTTTAATTTATCCAAAACAAAAACCTCTTATTTAATGGTGAGCTGCTCGTTTGCAGCAGCAGCTAACAGCTAACAAACAATGGCTGCTTTGCTCAATTTGACTGCTAGCTAGTTGGTAATTAGCTAACTACTAGGCTATAGCTTGACTGTGTGTAGTGCTATTTTGATTCTCTGTAGCTATAGAAAGTGTTTAAAACTAAAGACAGCTTTCTGACTCATAAATATGAATAGTAAAACACTGGGCGCTAACATTTGCTTAGCTACTTCTAAGGGTTCATTCTGATATTTATCCAGATGTGTAAGGCAGCGTTGAGGGTTTGTACTTACTGGTAGAGGTTTTTCACAGTTTGCTCATCGCTGGTCACACTGTAGTAAGGACCCTCAGTTCGAGAGAAGATTAAATAGGTGATCTCTCCTCTGCTGAAGCCGACTCTAGCAGGAAGTTCTATCTCAACGTTGTACGATTCCTACAGGTACAAATATGCAAAAAATTAGAACAAAATGTTCCTCAGTAATTAGCCTCAGTATCATGAGTTTGAAAATATATCAAAGCTGTGTGTGTGTTGTGTGGAACAGTTTACCTTGGGCCGTGTCCCAAAGAAGTTCAAGCCACCTTCAGGGTAGAGGAAGAGAATGTACGAGTCTGTCTCATCATAACCGATGACTGCCTGGAACGTGTTGACCTGTAAAGAGATAAGAGAGATGAGTTTATCTGAAACTGAAAGGAAACAGGAAGTTTAAGTGTAGACCTTTACGCATTACACTCTGCACGTTGATGAAGTAGAGGCTTTGGGGCTTAAAGGCTTTATATGTGATTTTTTGATCCAGTAGATGTCGCCTTTGAGCACCAGCATGAAACCAAAACAACTCGCACACTGATCTTTATTATGCTCGTATCTTCACACTGCATGTAAATTTACCTGAAATGAGCGTGATCTAGAAACACAGTTAAGCAGTGAGTACAGTATGTTATTCTTCTTTTCTCTAGTCCCTCAATTAAACAACTTTTATACGTGAGGGGAGGAGTCAGCCGGCCGTCCCGGCGATGTAAACAAACTGAAGATAGGACTCTGAAAACTCTGAAAACATCACAGACAGTGGGTCTCGGGTGTTACACCCATTGTAGACAGTCATGACTCACAGAGTTATTTTCAGAGGATATACTTGATTTATATTACATTTAAGTGTGAAAAATTACATTTAAAGCCTTTAAGAAGAAAGAAAATAAATGCATAAAGTTTGTTAAATCTTGATTCTATTTGTTTTGTTTTTCAACTTTCAGATTGATAGGGTTTTAATAAAACTGCATGACTTTAAATCTTGTCACTATGCTTCCTTCGTCTTTGTTTTCTAAGTTAATTTTTGTTTAATTTTAGCTCTTTAAATTGAGACATTTTACCTTTAAAGGGACACACACAATTCTACACTTACAAAATAACTTAAACGCTTATTTGATTAAAAATATCTTGTGATTTTTCAGGCACATTTCTTGATTTTCTTTTTACAAAATGTAGAAGAGTTGCATGTACAACAATCGTGTAATAACCTCTTACTGCCACAGGGGTCACTGTTCAGCAACAGTTACATGAACATGATTTTAAAGGTGCACTATGTAGATTTTGTGGTGAAATTTGAAAGTTGGAGAAGTGAAACAATTCTGCTATATTTTCTGAACTGAACACACAAACTTTACTCAAAGAAAAAATGGATCCCTGGAAAACTGTTTGGAGCTAAAAAGCTACCAGGAGAGTTACGCTTTCACCATAACTTCTTGCATAGCATTTCATCTTCAGACTATAGGGACCACATTTTCCTATTAGAAAAGTGTGTGTATAGAGTTATGAACATTAGAACATGAACATACCACAGAATCTGTACACTTCTCCAACTTTAAAATTTCTCCACCAAAATGGCATAGTGCACCTTTAATCTATATATTATTACTCCTTCAATATGCAAAAATAACTAAACAGATTGATTTCTAAGAGGACCTTTAAGAATATTTTTTAATCTTCAGGAATGTGTCTTAAACATATTTTTCTTCTTCTGGTGTTTAAGAGATGAGGTCACCTCCTGTGTGTGTACACAGTCAACCCCACTCAACCATCTCCAAATTATTCCAACAGTCACACCTCATATTTAAACTTCACACCTCCTCTCTCCTCCTCCCCTCTTGTCTCCTCCTCTTCCGTCCCTTGCTCCGCTGGGAGTCATGTTTAAAATTCACACCCTTCAAACCCCCTTCTTCCGACCACCGCCGATTATTTACATACTGACCCCACAGTATGTGGGTTTCTTAACATCTATTCTGGGTGAATTAGGATAAAGTAAATACACTGAATCAGATGAATCAGTGAACTTCCTTGCATTGGATTGTTACTTCAGGAACTTTATTTCCTAAATGTCAGTGGGCGCTTTTGTCTCATCCTGCCAAAAACCACATTTAGAAAACACTCAGATTTGGTGAAAGAAGGGAAGACTGCGAGTGATCCCAAGTTGTTTTCCTTTGGGACAGAATCACATTATCTGCACAAACACACAAAACATGGACCCAGAAATGCACACACACAAACACACACATCTCAAGCCCCCAGCCCCAGATGTTGATCTCCACAGCTGTCTTCCTGTGTGTCTGGACATCTTTCATGATGATGTTACAGCACTCAAAGCAGACATGGTTACAATGTGAGACACACTTATATAACACAGATGTCCCTCCACCTATAGTACCTCTCCTGTGAACGTATGTGTGTGTTCTTAATTGTTTACATCAACATCTTTAAACTATCTTGTTGTTTGTGGGAGGGTAGGACTTTGCAGCCCCCAGGCTTTGTGCAATTAGTGAGGAGGGAGGAGGAGGAGAAGAAGCTGGAACTACAAGAGGGGATCTGCTTTTTTTTTTCTTTGTCCTTAATATCCCTGTTAAATGTCTGTGTTCTTCTCCCCGACTGCCCCTCCTTCTTCCTGGAAAGGGGAGAGAGAAGATGAGAAGCAAAAGGAGGAGGGAGAGGGGGAGAGCTTTGGACAGATAGAGAGATAAAAGGATGAGGGGGGGGGGGGGGGGGGGGGTTGGGATAGTTGGAAGAGAGGCCATAGGTCCGGTTCACTATTGGAGACAAAAATGATTTCCTTCAAAACTATTGCACCTATGGAAAAAAAAACTGTGTCTGAAGAATCTCAACCATTAGATTGGATGGTCAGAGATGAATTCTAATGGCTTTGATAGTCACTTCACTTTTGTTTGCATGGGTACATCTGCCTCAGCTTTACTAGTCGTTTGGTGCGGTTTAGCAAATGTTAGCAATAGCATGCTATCCCACTCAATTTTGGGAACATTTAAAACATGACGCCTGCTCAGTATCAAATTGTCACCAAAATGTAAACAAACAGTGAATATATTTGTAAAACTAGCACTCAAAATAATACTTAATACTACAGGGATCTTTATTCTTCATAATGAAAACAAAATATTTAAATTTCCAGACGCCGGGCTAGCACGGCCACGTCTCACAATCTTTAGTGACAGACACAAGTGTGGTATGGACATTCTCACTTCACTTTGAGCAAGTAAGAAAAATAAGTGTCATTTCCAAAATGTCAAACTGTTCCTTTAATTTGCGGTTCTCCCCTCCTACCCTCCTCGTTTCTGTGTGGTCATCTGCTGCGTTTGAGTCGGTCTGTGTGAAGCAGCCTCACAGCTGGAGGAAAACAAATTGTAGGCAACACACATCAAAGGCATTCAGAGAGTGTGTGCCTCAGTACATGTGTGCTCCCCCCCATCACCCACAACCCTCGCCCTTCCCACAGGGTTTTGTCACACCTTTTTTTTAAAAGAGTCTCCTCACACTGACCAGACACACGCACAGACGTGAATTGTCTCTGGGACTAACAAATGTTTGTTGTCAGGATTAAGTAACATCATCAGTCTGCTGCTCGCTGGAGGTTTGAAGTCTGTAAACACCCGACAGCCAAAAATGAAAGTTCATTCAGTTAGTTCACACAAACAACTAAACACACTTTAATTATTACAATACTGCATTGAAAGTCAATGAAAACACATGAGGTTTGAAGGTGAAGAAGTGTTCTTTCTCGCAAAAAAATAGTCTATAGTCCGAGAAGATGAGGTTAGCATAGCATTAGGCAGAAGTCAAAATGTGTCAAAATATTTTAATAAAGCTGACATTTTTCCTTTGGACAATCTTGCTGTTTACCCCTGTGTCCAAGCTAAGCTCAGCTAGCTCCACTTTAAGATACAAAGGTTTCTTTCTCTGTTGGTGTTTTTTTTAATGGTTTGTTTGGTGTTTTTTAAACAATTATTCCATATATTTGAGAATCATGAAGCAACAAATTAGCTTATTTTAGCATTACAACTAAAAACACCTTTAAGGTTAACGTAATAACATGGCATTGATAAAGCAGGTTACAAGTTGTGGCTAAAGTAAAATGGACACAAATAGAGACACTCACTCTAAAGATACAGTTTTTACAGTTTATGTTTGGATAAAACAATTTCAGAAAATGTAATGGATGAGCTTTGAGAGATGCTAACTCTTTACCCCATTCCATTCTTAATGCTAAGCTAGCGCTAACTTTATTTAAACTTTAGCAAACACTCATCGATCTTCTCATCTAACATCGTGCATGTACAGAAAGTCACAAGAAGAAAACATTCCCATAATGTGGAACTGTTAATACACAAACATGTAGCATAGCCTGTATGACATGATGGCTTAATTACACCTTTGAAAACCTGACAGCTGCTGCTAACACAGAGCAGGTGTTGTGTGGAAGCAATATGATGTCTCATTTGGTGTAGTCTCATCATATTGACTTGTGTTTGGTCTTGTCTAGTGTTGTTTATGTGTTGAGTTGGTTTACTCTGTCTTTATATAGTTTAGTCTAGTCAGCTGATGACTTAAGGGGAATGTAGCTGAACTCATCTCGTCTGTGTTTCAAATAAGTGACTCAACGCTCTGTAGCAAATGGTTCAAATCACATTATAATTATGTAAAGCGGCATCCCACTATGGTTGGCCAGGAACATCCCAAAAAAGAGAGAGAGAGAGAGAGAGAGAGAGAGAGAGAGAGGGAGGTTTAGGATGAATGTATAACACTTGTTTGTTGGTCGCTGGTTTTTCAGCTCTGCGGCCGCAGCACAGCTGCAAACAGGCACCAGGAGAGACGGAGAGCAGCTGCAGTCCAGTTGCCAGCCTCACCAGAGTGCTACAAACGGAACTGCCTACAGCGTGGGAACTGGCACACACACTCACACAGTCACACACTCACACAGTCCAGGCTTGTGGCCAGGAACAGTGCAGTCAGTATTTCACTGTTGTTGTATGAATTTCTTTTGGGGGGTGACATGCCTGTTTTAACTTTAGCTCTAGTCAAAAAGGATTCCCTGCTTTCTTTGAATCTTCAGGAAATTGTACAACGTCAGGGCTTTGTAGGAGCTTTTTGATCCACTCAAGAACACATGGTGGGTAAAACCAAAACCGCTTTTCTTAAATCCTGCAAGCTTTCACAACATGAACGTCTTTCCCACAATTACAAATGAAAGAAAGACGTCTGTACTAGTAATTAGTTAAGACAGAAAAAACTGTAGTCTATGTTTTAGCGGCTAAATTATTGAGCTGCAAAGCCACAACATGATGACGCTAACCCTTGTGTTTCTCTTCTACAGTATAAACAGTTGTAAGAACAATATAACATACTATAAAAGCTAAACACATAATTTAAGGGATTCTCCCTGTGTCACTGCTAGGCCCACATTAAGAACAACAAATAACACTAAAAGACATCTAACAGAGAAGTCTGTCTAATCATTCAGTCTGCCTCATCTGACCTTCACACAACAAATATTAAGCACAAAGCTCTTCAACCACCAACACTTTCACTTTCTGCTAAACATAGCTCTGAGGAGACTCTGAGGGCGGCTCAGACACAGTAATACTCTCAGCAAGGGAACTTGAGGACACATATGCAATATTGTGTACATACCACACATACCATCTCCATTTCAGTGTTTTCATATCATGAGCCCCCCTTTTGGAATGCATCACCACCACAAAGCCCCCAATAACATCGAGCAGTAAGCTTTGAACTATTTATTGTCTTTGTTATGCACTGTAAAATATTCGGAAGAAGTGCATTATATAATCATCCAGGAGGGGGGTCTTCAGGCGTTCTAGCACTAGGTATGTCCACTGAACATTTGAAGGTCATCACCCCCTCTAGTCCGCACCAGAATTAGTATTTGGTAATACAAAGTAGTACTATTTTTATATGTTGGCTTCAGCTTGTCATATAGCCATAGATTAGCTGCTCTTCCCGCTCTACTACACAGATGTAAATGAGCACAGCAACCGGAAAGGATCGTGCAAATTACATGACAATCTGTAACACATTTATTTATATATTTATTTGTATTTTTTTATATACTAACTAAAATTTGACTATTTAGCTAAATATGCTATCTAAATATGCTATGCTAATCTTAGAGCTATGTTGCTAGTATGGCTAAAATTGGCTCTCCTTACGTAATCAATTTGAAGAAGCAGTGTTTTTATGAGTAATAGTAATTTTGCTGTGGTAATGTTGTGGTAAATATATATAAAATGAAATGTCAGTTTTTCTTTAGAAAATTTGCTTCTTAAGCAATTAAAGAAAAGAAGCAGTTAGTTTCTGGCCCAATTCAGCTCTACTGTCAGAGCCCACATGTAGCATTCTGCAGCTAATATTTCAGTTTCTTAGCATATTAGCATTTATAGGAGTGCCACAGCATTCACAAACATGACATGTGAACTAATGTGAGGAATGGTTAGCAAATGCTGCTGAAAGGAAAACACTTCCTATAACATCAACACAGAAGGCCAGACTCGGTGTAAATGGCTCTGGTCATTAGCAAATTGAGCTACATGGTAGCAGATACAACAGAGTGTGTGTTTTAGGTTTGGAGTCGAGTAATTACTTTCCAATTATGATAATAGCCTCTTTTAGACTCATTTCATAGAATACACAAGCCCACCTCTTAGGGATGTGAACTTTCTCTCTTCTGCTCTCATTTCCATCGCTATTTATTCCTGTTTTTTTTTCTTCTCATCTCAGTATCCGGCCCCCAAAAACACCACACACTCTGCTCCCTTCCCCCCAAAACGCTACCCCACCTCGTCAACCTTAATATACATCCTGACAAACACACACACCTCAGGTTAATCAGTTCGCACACACATACCAAACTACCCCCACCCAGCACCTCTGGCTAATCACTTCAAAGGGAGATGCTATCAGCGCTAAGAGGGACCCACTGAAGTAAATCCCAGCTGGGACCCCGACTACTTCAATCTGACAGGCCAGTCAGACCCTTTAAATCACACAACACCCCCCCTCTGAGCACATAATAAAACATTTTTCACCTTCAAAAAGTGGAATTCAGCCTTTAAGGAAGGACTTAGTCAACATTGGATAGACTCCTGAGAAGCAATGACTGATTTGTTTGCCTTTCATTAATCAGAATTCAAAGGAGGCGTAAAATAAACCAGACCTTGAGATTTTAGAAAAAGGACAAACAGATGGGGGGGGTGTGGGGGGGGCTTTCCTTAAATCTGCCACTCCCTTCAGCCCTCTACCCCACACACTACAAACCAGGAACAACAAAGAAATGTTTGTTTGATCGATACATTCAGGAGGCTTTACTTGGAGTCTGTCCCAGAGAATAACTTAACCAAAGATTCAAGTGCTCCTCTACTTGAAGCTTTGTTTGAAAAGCTTCATTTCATTTCTTGCTAACGTTGAAGGTTTTTAGGTTTATATGAACGTTCAACACATAATGCTGATGATGTCCTAGTGGTAACGGGATTCATGATGTCTCAACACCTTAAGAATGTGTAGTTCAAAATTGTATGCAATTGGGGAGGTTCCAATGCAAGAAAGCAGGTGAGTTGCATTATGGGAAATACAGGATCCAGTGTTTTTGGATGTAGTAGTTGCTAAAAATGGGATATCTTGGTGTGGATTCATTTGTTTTTGGTTTTTTTTAAGATTTATTTTTGGGCTTTTTGTGCCTTTAATGCAGAGAGAGGACAGTGGATAGAGTCGGAAACCAGGGAGAGAGAGCGGGGAATGACATGCGGAAAGGGGCCACGGGTGGAAGCAAACCCGGGCCTACTGCTTGAGATGAGAGTCTCAACACATGGGACGCGTGGCCTAACCATTGCGCCACCAGTGTGCCCCTGATTCATTTGTTTTTGGCTCTTTCTTTTTAAATGTGTCTCTTGTTAGTGCCCAAACGTTATGGATGTGTAACACTAAATGACTTGAGCGGCCCTTTAATTATCTAAAGACTTGCTAGCATAAGCTAAAGATGCTATTTATCATGGTTCATTCAATTATCCATACTTACAAATTGTTACATTTGTCTTAAGTTAGGAATCTCATCAAATGCAGGGAGTGAAAATATAAACAAGTGAATAATGAAGGGTTACTTGCTTTGGTTTTAAATGGTGCTTTTCCCGCCTGAAATTTCCAATTTTCCCCTTTAATTAGAACCAAATTACATGTTGGACGATCCCAAGAAAATGATGGATGTGTCAAATAAAGTGCAACTGTGAAGTGTGCATCCCTTTAAGGGGTTGTGGGAGAGTTGAAAAAAGGTTCCTTACTAGTGTTTGGGTGCTTTAGCTTTCTCTGCACCTTTAAGAAAAAGCTAAAGACCCAGCTCTTTCATGAATACCTACTAACTTAATGATGATGGTCTCCATATTATTGATGATGATGATGGTAATGACGATGGTTTTTGTTTGATAACGACGACTTATAAGATGGTTTCTATACTGATTAGAGCTCTCAAGAACTGCCCTCAATGTTGTGCTTTGCCTCTGGTCACTTCCTGTCAGCACCTGTGTGTCCAATCAGACTCAAAGCTGATCGTTTGCTCTTACTGACTTTGTTCCCTTTTTTCTAGATCCTTGCTTGTGTTGTACTTACTCTCTGATGTACATCGCTTTAGATAAAAGCGTCTGTACTTGGCTTACTAACAGGAAGGGGAGTGATGTCCAACAGAGCGTGTGAGCAGGAATGGCCGAGCGTGTTTGCGAGTCTACCTGTGAGTGAATTGGAGGAGGGGGGATAATGAGTTGGGAGGCACTTTGATGACCCTAAAAGATGACCTCTAACCGCTTGGAAAGGTTAAGAGGCAGATTAGGAGGGGAAGAGGAATTACAAATGGGCACCCCACCCTTGGCTGATTACAAGTGATGCACATCCTTCAGGAATTTGGGATTGTCTCTCACAAGAACTTAAACGCTCATCTGAGGGATGTGTAGACCTCTGACGTCACAATGGAATAATCAGAAATCACCTTTTTTACATTTTGTGAGTTTTTAAAAAATATTTTACATTTTTAAATTCTATTTTATATATTGTAATATCTTCTTATTCTGTATTATTTAAGTTGTTGCTAGTTCTGCTTTATTTCCTTGTTAATTGTTCAGCACCAATACACCAAGTCAAATTCCTTGTGTGTAAATGTGTAAATGTACTTGGCAATAGAGCAGTTCATCTCACCTTGTTGGAAGGTCCAGTGTGTCGACTTTGTTCCTCATATGCCGCCACGTTCTCCCATGTAGCCACCACAACGTGTGTGGGTGTGAATTTAGAATCGGGGAACCCTCGATGTACCTCCTGGGTGAGCAGATGAATCAATGAATGAGCGAGGGAAAGAAAGAGAAAAGGATGTAGAGTGGACTGAACTAGTGGAAGATGAATTGAAAAAGGAAGATTGGTAGTTAATAACAAAGAACAGAGTCTGAAGTCGACATCCAACCACACAGTTGTGTTGGCTTGTTTCTTGATTAAATGCTTAAACCGACCTGGGCCACTTTGTTGAGCACGCTGGGCGTCTCCGTCACCCTGTAGTAGATCTGTCCTCGCCCTCCGCTGGTGTCGACGTCCGCCAGAAACGGAGCCACTGCGGGGAAATCTGTGGGGAAGCCGTCGTCGACGTACTGCTTCTCCATGGGCAAGTCCTGCGCCGATATGATGCCATTGGTGGCCACCTAGAAACAGAAAGAGTCCACCATTAGTCCAGATGCTGCAGACAAGCTGGGACCCCCTGAATACTTTAGAATCCATCGTAAACCTCCTCTGGGGGGGAAATCTGAAAGGCCGCCTTGAACCCAGGAAACCTCCTAATGAACTCATATCCCCTCATAAAACCTCCTCATAGTCCCCAGGAACCACGTAATGAACCCAGAGATCCTCCCTATAAACCACCAAGACTTCTTGAAGAAACCTCTTGGGCTCCTTAGAGTAGGGGTTCTCAGACTTTTTTAGCCCATGGACCCCTTTCAGGTGAGATGTTTTTCCAAGGACCCCCCTCATTATCATAAAGTTGATAAGCATATATTAATACTATGTAATAATGTACTATGCAGTAGTTTGCAACGATAGAATTAGACTACATTTATACTTTCCAAGTAATTCATTTTATAAACTTTGAGAAAATGTTGGCTCCGAGGTGTTTTTTGTTTTGAGTTTTTTTTTTTTTTTATCGTTGCGCACTATGAAGTGACAGACATGTCACGATCATATCAGAATTCAAAACTAAAGTGGGCGGGAGTATTGGACAAAACAGCTGATTTTATTGGTGCAAGAGGTCCCAGTTTGTAGATATGCTTTTTCAATGAAATATCACACTTTTACAATTGTTTGTAAATTATTCCGAGGTCCCCCAAGGTATGGTTCGCGGACCCCTGGGGTTATATACACTTGAAGAAAGATTACAATATGTGGTCAACTACAAAAAAAAATTTAAACTGTACAAATATCAACTTTGCACCTCCGTGTTGTACTTGTAAGTCACTTCTCATCACTAGTGACATAATAATGGAACACTTTCAGGGACCAGTGTGCATGATGAGTACTTACACTTTTCATAGTTCAGCTCTTTTCAGTTCAGATTTTCATTAAAAGTCGAAACATAGCAGCAAAATAAGATGCAACTGACTATGTTTTTACACTTTGAAACTGTCATTTTTTTCTCATAGTCAACTGCACAGCTCCTACATTGCACCTTTTGGACATTTTTTATTTTTGATATTTTACATGTTTAAATTCAATTGTATATATTGTAATATCTTCTTATACTGTATTATTTAAGTTGTTGCTAGTTCTGCTTTATTTCCTTGTTAATTGTTTAGCACCAACACACCAAGTCAAATTCCTTGTACAGTACATGTGTAAATGTACTTGGCAATAAACCCTGATTCTGATTCTGATTCATTGAAATACTTCTTGCAGCCCTGGGTTCACTGTAATTAAGTTTAAAAATAGACATACTGATGTTATCCATCAGCAGCCTGTTGAGCTCTGTTGGGGGAATTATTCATTCAGTCCTTTAGAAAATGTTTAGATGTATTTCTTCAAAAGTGCAGCATGAGACTCTGAATTCAACAGGAAACAAAGTTAATGAACCATGTGAGATACCCCTCTTGTCAGTGTTAGTTTATTCTCATTCAACAGCTGCAAACATCATGTGAAAAATGTAACTTTTAAGACAATTTGACATCCTGCAGTGATGAAGAAGCATGCAAACAGGATGAATGAGTACTCACATAGAGCTGGGAGAACTGGGAGTCATAGAAGTAGAAAGGTCTGGGCAGGGTCAGCACTTTGGACGTTTCATCGTCGCCCTCTGCCAGGATCATATCTCCACTCATAGAGCCATAAGGGAACAGACCGGACCTCTGGATGGCCGTGACCACGCACGCGCCCACGCTCCAGCAGAGCACGCACGCGGACAACAGCTGGCCTTTCTGCATCGTGGAGCCGGGCTGAATGAGGAGGGAACAGAGAGCCGGGCTGAATGAGGAGGGAACAGAGGGAGAAGCGAGGAGAACTTTCCTCCTTTGCACTCAGCGGGGAGGAGGGAGGGGAGGAGGGGAGGAGTCTAGGCGCGCTCTGATTGGTCGGAGGCGGAGTGAGCGACAGCGGCAGCCCTGGTAACATCTGGCTTGTATTAAGAGAAAAGACAAATAGAGCGTTTTTTAATCCGGATGTAACTCTATCTCTTTCACAACAATGTGATTCAAACACACTAAAACAAATATCATACACAAAAGTGTTTCTTTAAAACTGTTCAAACATCAAAAGTAGAAGGGGAAACTTACCTCCTTAAAAATGAGTATGTTCCTTCATGTATACATAATTTCAACATCCCATAATACTCAACAGATATAAGTCTACTAGCCTACTTTTAGTTATTGCATTGAATAGTTAGATCACAAGTTCATAAGCAGTTCTTCTCTTTATTGAACACTTTAGTTTAAGTGTAACTATCAGACAGTCACACTTTACTTTAGTAATTCTCTACTTGAATAGTAGTGCCACCTAGTGTCTGATCTTCACATTACAGCCTCAATCTTCATTTATAGCACCAATTAAACTGCAGTTCTAAGTGTTTTAAACGGGAGTGGAAAAGTGATTGACAACCGGGGAGTTTGTTCAGAATGATGCACATCGATATGAATTCAATAAAAAAATTAAATTAAATGAATTCAATAAAAAAATTAAATTAAGATGGATGATAAAAATAGATAATTATTAAATGTCTAAGTTCTAAAAAAAAAAATAGACGGGAAGTGACCACACCAACGCACCGGGACTTGAAGGGAGTCACTACAGACTGACTGATGCTCCATGTTTATATATATTTATAATGATAAAGGCAAAGTTCTCAATGATAGCATTTTTTAATCACGGGTTTAAGAAATAAATTGAAATACTAAAAAAAATGTTTTTTACATAAGTACTACTTTAAGCTGCACAACAGCTGAAAGAAGCATCATTTGTTTTTGCTCTGTGGAACAACTACAAGAAAAGAGAGAGAAGGAGCGAAATGAAGAGAGAGAGAGAGAGAAAGGGAGAGAGAGAGAGAGAAAGAGAGCGCGAGAGAGAGAGAAAGGGAGAGAGAGAGATAAAGGGAGAGAGAGAGAGCGAGAGAGAGAGAGAGAAAGGTAGAGAGAGAGAAAAAGAGAGGGCAAGAGAGAGAGAGAAAGGCAGAGAGAGAGAAAGAGAGAGAAAAGGAGAGAGAAAGAGAGAGAAAAGGAGAGAGAAAGAGAGAGAGAGAGAGAGAGAGAGAGAGAGATCACAGCATAGCAAATGAATCTTCATTTGTAGTTTGAATCCTATTTGAAGTTGACCTGTGACCTTTAAGGACGAATGCAAGAATCGGCTTCAAGGGTGTTTACGACCATGTTCAGTCAATTGTGCACAAGACACGACTGGGGGCACAGCTCAGTCTGTAGGGACCTGGGTCACCGGTTCAGGTTCTGGTGCTGACCTAAAATGGTCTGGTAGCCGGAGAGGTGTTGGGGTGCCTTTGATTAATGCATGTGTAACGCACAGATTGAAAACACACAAAGTCTTTACATTTATGTTGGCATGGGAAAGTGTACTAAAAAAAAGATCACAGATTTTACCCAAACATCTTCTGGGTAGAGAAAATGCGAACAGAGTCACAAAGACTACATCTGTTACTGGTCAAAATAAATAAATAAAGGCACTCCTATTATTTAAATTTGTTATTGATTTCTTATCAGACGTGAATCCATCTGTGTGTGTGTAGTTACACATAGTCACCTGTAGGTGGCAGCAAAGACAAGGCTGACAAACTAAACCACACAACACAACAAAGTGTGGGACAACTATAATGTAGGTTTAATTTCTGGATTTAGCACGTTATCTTGCACATTCAATTGCAGCACTTTTCTTTGTCCTTTCATGAACGGGACCCTTTTTTTTTTTTTTTTTTTACTTTTTTCACTCATGATTTTGATTTGAGTTATCTTACATGCACTTCCTTTTTAATAGTCTGTAACTATCTCGATATTTATCATGTGCTTGGATGGATTATTGTTCTGTAGACAAACCCTGAAACATTTCATCATTCTCATCTCATCATGTTTCATCAGTATTTGAGTTTTTGATTACAGCCTGCTGGCTTCATGTGTGAAATCTGATATTCACTAAATCGATAAAGTCAACAATGATTCAAAGAAGGTGGGCAGGCCGCACGCCAAAGTGTGTTGTTGAGCTGTGCGGCTGTGTTTGTATGCATGTGTGTGTGTTATGTGTGTGTTAGGAGTAACAATACATCAGCGCTCGTCAGCACTTTTAACAGACGCCAGGTCCTGAACAAAGGCTGTTTACCAGCAGAGCACGCCCGAGGATTTATGGATTAAAACCCTGATCAATAACTGCTTCTAAATAAAGAGCACAGGCAGACTTAAGAGGCCCACTTTAGACCATCAGAGTCTAGGCACAGGGTCATCTTATGGATTTGTTATTGGATATATTAACCATTTGTCTGATTCTGTTTCAAACTACTATTGGAGGAAAGTCCAAAGCTCCAAAATAATGTTGTAAAAGGAGCTTTAATTCCCAATAAAGTCAATGGATGGATATCAGAGAATTGACTGATCACTTACAAGAAGGAAGGAACGATTTAAGGAAAGAAAACAAGAAATAAGGAGAAGGAAGGAACGATTTAAGGAAAGAAAACGGGAGATAAGGAGAAGAAGAAAGGAACAATTTAAGGAAAGAAAAAAAGAAATAAGGAAAGAAGGAAGGAACAATTTAAGGAAAGAAAGCAAGAAATAAGGAGAAAAAGGAAGGAACGATTTAAGGAAAGAAAACGAGAAATAAGGAGAAGAAGAAAGGAACGATTTAAGGGTTAGGGGGGAAAGGGCGTCAGTTAGGGCAGGGAAGAGGGAGAAAGGGCCTCTGGTACGTGAGGACACAAATATAGATCAAGGGTAAAGGAGACAGAAATGTATGCTACAATGGAAAGAGACAGAGAAGAAGATAAAACAGAGAGGGCCAAAACTAAAAATAATCTTCCCTACTTGACGAGGCAGATCGTAAATTGTACTCTCCATGACTTAGTGTGTCTTTGTGTCTCGGCACTCCTGTGTGAGGTTTGTTGAAATGTCTGCGGTCAAAAAGTGAGCAGAAAGAGAGACAGGAGGAGAGAGAGAGAGCGAGAGGGGGAAGTGGCATGGTTTCTGTATGTCATAATAAAGGATTGGTTAATTGGGCCTGTAGAAAAGCACTCAAGTGTCATTTCAGAGCTTTCAGCTTTCAGGATCCTGATTGGCTAAGATGTAATTAGAATAACATTTTAATACATTACAGATGTTACACGGCAGATGTTACATAACTCATTTAAGGTTGATGTCATGCTCATGTAAGTTGAGCTCCCGTACAAACCAAGTGAACTCTTGAGCTGAAAAAAAAAATTGCAGTTCCTTGAGTGTCCACTTGAGGCTGGCTGCTGAGGTCCAACTTATCCCCATTGGAGCAGACGTCAACGTGTTTACACTCTGGATCAAACACAGTTTCCTTAAAGGCTTTATATGTGATTTTTTGATCCAGCAGATGTCGCCCTTGAGCACCAGCATGAAACCAAAACAACTCGTGCTGCATTGTTGTGTTAGCATGCTAATGCTAGCGATCTTTATTATGTTCGTATCTTCACACTGCATGTAAATTTACCTGAAATGAGCGTGATCTAGAAACACAGTTAAGCAGTGAGTACAGTATGTTATTCTTCTTTTCTCTAGTCCCTCAATTAAACAACTTATACTCAAGGGGAGGAGCCTAACCCGTCCATGTAAACACTCGATTGTCTCACCCATTGTAGACAGTCATGACTCACAGAGTTATTTTCAGAAGATATACTTGATTTCTGCTACATTTAAGTGTGAAAAAATCACATAGAAAGCCTTCAACATTGTGAAGGCTGTAAATTTGTTCATAACTCATCCATTTGATTTCATGAAGGCTAGAAGCTATGCACGTTTACTTCAACTTGGGCATGGCTGTGTTGACTGACAGGTGGGCGTGTTGAATCCAAAAGACTGAAGGCCTGCCTCAGCTCCGATAATTTGACAGTTTTTTTTATTGAAAATGAGGAGGTAGCATTTCAAATATGGCGACTGTCATTGTTGGACTTCAAAATTCTTCTTCAGAGACCAATGGGTGACAACACTGAGCCTATATGTCCATGTTTCATATGGAACCCACTCTGAAAATCTGAAACAGTTTGATTTCACTCTGCAAGTTCGTCTCTATCGATTTCTCTCGATTTTTCTCAGCCCAGCTGGTCGTGCTAATAGAAGGCTTTCCACCAATCACGAGTCAGGTTGTTTCGCCTGTTTAAAGGATGTTTTCTTTGCCGCTGTTGCCAAATGCGTGCTCATATTGAATTAATGATGAGTTGGGGTGGAGATAGGTTATCAGACATGATGGATACATGGAGGGTCAGGAGATGGAAGGCTATATCATACCAATCATATTTCCATTCCTGTGGGAAATTAAGGCCTCAAATCCGTAAGATTGAGGGAGGAGACCCCGGAGACCAACATGCATAAAACACAGCGACCATTCTTCCATACTCTGAATGGTTTGCAACATGTATGTCCACTCACACGTCACACAGAGGTCGAGGCTTCTGCATGAGGTGTTTTTTTAATGTTATTTTTAGAGCCGAGCTATTTACAGGTCAGAAAGTCAGAACAGTAATTTGTACTGTACTTTTAGAAGAAGAGTGTCCAGCTGTTTGTTTTTTAGAAAGGCAAATTAAAAGCAGATTTTCTTTTATGTTTTCATTTTTTTTCCCACTTTGTCGTTGCTGCATATTCAAGCCGAGGTGTTTTTATCTATTGAATATCTTCTATATATTTTTCCAGAATAGCACATACATGCAAAGTGGCTGGTAGAGTTTATATATATATTTCAATGTCTGTTTTTACATGAAACCTTCACACACTGGAAGTCTTTATTTGTTCTGCTCTTCCATG